AAATATGTAAACCATTGCGTTTAGTTCTTCTCCCGCTGACTCAAAATGTTGTATCGGTGTTTGTTTTTTTGGAGAAATTGAGCATTGTGACCAGTCACAGACATCTGCTGAGCACATAAAAGCAATGGCTAGAGGTGTTTAACTTTGCCTACACTCTTAAAAATAAAAGATCTTTATTGGCATTGATGGTTCCATGAAGAACCTTTAACATCCATGGAACCTTTCCATTGCACAAAAGGTTCTTTACAGTGGAAAAAAAGGTTCTTTAGATCATTAAAATAGTCTTTTAAGAATAAAAATTCAAATTCTTTTAAGAAGTCTTTTAATAAGTCTGAACAGTATGCTAGGTGGTAGTTTTTTTTCCACATTCATAATAGGACACAAAAATAGAACACAAAAGACATTCAAAAAGATGGTACATTGGCATAGACACAAAAGATTTATTCTGCAGTGACAGTCAAGACCAAACACCTAAGACCTCGGTCCAGACACTGAGTCATTGAGTAATTGAGTAACTACAAGATCAAGACACCAAATCTGTCACGTTATAATATTCTGTGAAAGCTGTATTTGTTTATAACGGGAATGAACATCAAATTACCACACAAATAAGTATAATATTGAATGTCAAAATTAATAATTGCAATTACAAAACCAAAGGAGTCATCAATTATGATTTTCACTACAATAATGCAGCACTTACATCTGAAATGGTGGATTGAGAATGTGAGTCATCATTAGGACATGAGGTGGTCAGCGTGGTTTCCCTTTGAGGTGCTGTTCTATTAACAGTTCCAACCAGCATGATAATTGCAATGGCTTGCTGTCCTTGTTTTTCTCTGAATGTTGTAGACCAGGGCAGGGTTTTTACAGAAATGGCTGTCCTTTTCATTAATCTTCAAGATACGCTGTAATTTGCTGTTTGATTTTCAGATTTACCTGCCTGTACAGGCTTTTGTCTTTATTGATCATTATAAGATTTTGTTTTTGATAATGCTTCTGTTTCAAATCTAACTCTGTTTTCTAATATTGCTGTAAACTTTTACATTAACATTAACATTAGCTGACATTAATATGCTGATTATTGGATATCAAATGTTTTGAAAAGCTCAGTTAACAAAAACTGTGGCATAAAACAGTACATAAACAGATAAGTGGCAACTGGTTAACATTATTTTTCATTTCCCACATGGCCATAAATATGTGCATGTCAGGGGGTTTTAAACTGTGGTCCAGGGACCCCCAGGGGGCTGTAAGGGGTGATAGAGAGTCCTTGAAAAACTTAAAAATAAATAATAAAAAATAAAAAAATAAACTTTTTTTTTTTATTACAAAGTGTATTTTAGGGTGTTCATTCATTGACATTAAATATTAAATATATATTAACATTAAATACATATCAAGCTAATTTGACAAAAATAAAATACAATTTTTTTTTTTTTATTACAAAGTGTATTTTAGGCTGTTAATTAATTGACATTAAATATTAAATATATATTAACATTAAATACATATCATGCTAATTTAACAAAAATAAAATAAAAAACTTTTTTTTTAAATTACAAAGTGTATTTTAGGGTGTTAATTCATTGACATTAAATATTAAATATATATTAACATTAAATACATATCAAGCTAATTTAACATGTCTATATAATGTGTGGGTGTATATAGTTTCAAAATTATTTACGTTTAGTTATATTAACATATAGAGATCATACAATAAGATCATATTTGGGGGTCTGCTGAAATTTGGCATCAGCTGAAAAGGAAAGTTGATTTAGGGGAAAAGGAGGTTTAGAGAAACATTT